GCATACAAGTTTTCAATTTGCTTGGTATGTATGCTGTATTTATCTGCGGAGGACACTCCAACCATGTGTGTGTGTGTGTAACAGATCAGTGGTTGAGACAGGAGGTTAATAATGACTCACACAGTACTACAGGTGCCACCAGGGTTATTTTACCTTTAAAATATTTGCATAGTTGGTGAAGTTGGAAATTTCTTCTCGCTGCTCTCGATTTTATTATATGCTGTATACATTTTTATTTTTATTTCTATTTTTTCATAATTTTCTCATAAAACAGCGTAATTCATCTAGCTCTGCATTTTCTGAGTCCTCACAAGACAACATATACTGAAATCCTTGCAAGTCTTCTCCTTTAGTGAACCTTGAGGGAGGGTCTCCGCTAGACTTTCCACTCGCCGTTTATGGACAAATACTTTTACCTGTGTTGAGTGGGCCTTGCCTCGTCCTATCCAGTCATTCTCCACCTCCTCAATTATTTACTACGCACCTCTGTGTTAAGAACCAACGTCGGGGGTTTAATTTAGGTAGGTTGCCGTTTTGTGGTGTATATGTATGTAAAGAAAGCGTTTGTAATGTGTCTATTGACCTGGAAATCAGTGTTATGTTATTTTTAGAGTTGGATGACGCAGAGCTCATGCTTAGTGGATTTTACGCCCGTAGACTGCGTGGACGTCTCTCCTACTTGCACACACACACACACACACTCCTAAGAACGCTATTTATAGAGTCAGAGTTAAGCCTTTGAATTGGGCCTTTATGATGTGAAAAAATAAATTTGTGTATACTTGTAACTTAGATCAATGAAATTATAGATTGGATGAAATGTTTGGTTTTCATTGATACGACTTTTATTTGCAAGCATGACCCCGAAATGCATGCCAAACTTCCACTTTATTTTAGTTTTAGCTTTTTAAAAGTTTGTGAAGTAGTGCTGTATTTCTATTTCAAGTTTTCTGTTTGGATTGCTAGTTAGGCTGAGCGTAAGCTTTTTCATATTCACATTTATTCCCGAGAGAATTTTTGAGCGATAAAATTAACACAAATTAGACTAATGGCATTATCCTCGGCTGTGTATGTGCAGTATAATCATTTATATGTAGGCCTGTACTTTTTTCTCCACACCCTCCCGCCAACCAGAGGCGAATTCTAAAAACCTACATATTCCTTTTTTCTCACAAAGTACTATATTTATCCTCTTTATTATTTGTTAGACGGACTTGAGAGAGTACACACTTGGTGCGGTTACAACTTCACTGATAGATTATGTTTTAATTTACAGTTCTCATACTTATCGACCGGCCCAACCTAACCGTACACATAATGTACTACGCTACGAGAGGAGCATCACGGATAGTTGCACAGTTTAGAAGACTTTAGGAGACACTTTTACACTTATCGCTGCTGGCAATCTCCGTATGTTTTTTTTATCCATTTTCAGAAAACCTGCCTGGCACAGTGGTGTGTTTGTGTTGGTTAGGTTAGGTTAGGTTTATTGGGCCAGTTTAGAATAAACACCATGGTTCAGTAACTATACACACTGCCTACCACACCCAATATTTGCAGGACTTAGTGACCAATAGAATATCTCGCGTCCACATCCTCAAGACTCGTCAACCCAATATTAGTAGTTGCCCTTTTCAGGCAACTTGCAAGAGGGATGTGGTTGTTTATGGTAGACAAGACCTTAGATCCAGCCAGGTGAGGGTGCAGGGGGAGCAAGTTGAAGAACCAAAGTGGTGCAAAATTAAACTAAAGGGGAGAGACTTACTCATTGTCATATTTATCTTTCTGGTTAACGCCAGACAATTTTAGGATTGCAGGATTGAAATTACACCAAATGACCTTAATAATCCGGCTATGTTTTTGTAGAAACTCTGAAAGTCAATTCTTTGTTGCAATATGTTAAAGACCCGACTCACTACAAATGGGAACAAACACCCAACCCGCTGGACCTCATCATAGCTAACGAGGAAGGTATGGTGGTCAAGCTGGATCATTTAGCCCCCTTTGGTTTTCGACAGCGTACCCCATGAAAGGCTGGGAATTAAACTGCAAGGGTACAGGATTTTGGGAAGTGTCCTATCGTAGATCAGAGAGTTTCTTCATGACAGCAAGCAGCGTGTGGTGGTTAATGGCACGAAATCCTATGTGTACCCGTGATAAGCGGGGTACCACAGGGCAGTGTATTGGCCCCGTTGTTCTCTGTTTGCTTCATAAATGATATGCCAGATGCTGTACACTCCTCCATACAAATGTTTGCAGACGATGCCAAGTTATTTAGGGAAGTAAGAACCCAACAAACTGTGTAGAGTTACAGAAAGATCTCTATGAGCTTCAAGAATGGTCGAAGAAATGGCTGTAAAGGTTCATTATCATGACGTGTAAGAGGCTGCACCTGGGTCGTACCAACAGTAAGGAGGCGTATCATGTGTCCCAACGGGACGAAGAAACTGCATTAAGTGAGACTGAATACGAAAAGGACCTGGGTGTGTATGTTGACAATGAACTGAAGTTCTCGGGCCATTGCGAGAAGAAGGTGAATCAGGCAACTAAAGTAGTAGGTATTATAAGAAGGTCTTCAAGAATGAGGTGCTTCCCCGCCTGGAGTACTGTCACCCCGTCTGGTCCCCGAGATATGCTAGGGACTGTCAGTTGATTGAAAATGTCCAAAGGAGGGCCACCAGACTGGTGCCTGCACTTCGGCACCTCAGCTACCCGGAGAGATTAGAACGCCTGGAATTGCCTAGCTTATACTACAGACGGGCAAGGGGGGACCTAGTTGAGGTGTATAAACATGCGGCAGTTGACGAAGTCAAGAAAAAATCACAAAATATTCAAGAGGTGGGTCGCGACAAATGACAAGCAGGACATTTGGCTGTATGCCAGGTTCAGGAACTAAGCAACGTCAAAGTGCAGAAGGACTGAAAAAAAAAGAGTTCCAGAGGCGGATTGCAAGCGAGGTCAAGTCAAACCAAAAGGCTTTCTACTGTTACGCAAAATCGAAATTAAATACACGTGTGGGTGTATCAGATCTAAGGCTTGAAGATGGTAGTTACTCAGACTCAGACCAGGACAAGGCGGTAGACGGAAATAAAGTCCACAGGAAAAAAAGTCATATGACTTGTACACATTGACAACACAATATATATATGATGGCATTGCACGTTGGTTAGGTTAATTTTTTCCGTGCCTTTTTATCTGTGACTTTTTTTTCGTGTATTCGACAAGGCAGAGGCGTTCAACAAATTGTTTGTTGGCGTTCACAAGAGAGGATGCGGACAATCTTCCTGCGTTTCAGGACAGACGGTACGACACAGCGCTGACCTACATTGTGTTCTCAGAAGAGTATGCAGGGCCGGATTCAGGAGTGGGCAAAGTGGGCAGCTGCCCAGGGGCCTCCACAATCTGGGGGCCTCCACATATTACAATATTTTATTTATTTGTTTATTCATTTGGATTATTTTTATTTTCATTCTTTAAAATTCATGTTTATCTATTCCATCACGTAAAACTGTGTTCAGCAAGAAGCGTGATCAAAATTAGGCCAGCCTAGTGTGTCGGACCTTCCCCATCTCCTCCTCCCCACCTGGATTTTTCAGCATCCTCCCATCAACAATACAGTGCAAAGATTGACGATTAACCCACAACTGATATACAAAGAGACAATTTCAACTCGAAAGAAAGAAACAACTGTTAGAGTAACAATCAGTGTTCAGCGGTCAATGGTGACCTGACGCGGACCTGACACACCCAGGTCCGCCGCACACCCACCAGCACTGGATGAGAAGCCAAGAAAGACTCCAAACTACAGCAGGAGAGAAATGAGGATTCCTTACTCCACCCAGGTGAGGAATTATGAATTCCAGACTACATCACAAGAGGAACAAGAACCATCTCCAACACCCTGTGTGAGCTGGAGGACCTACCCAGACCACGTGGTGGGTATGTTAAATATCTGCAGCTGTAGTGAGGGAGCGGCCCTTAGCACCTAACGACGGCCATCCTAATTTCCTAACCATGGGAAGGACTTTGTTGGCGCCAATATCAGGTCACAAGAATGTTTAAAAGACCAGCTCTCACAGTACCAGATCTACAGTATATGTTGACTCTGTTTCCTATCTTTTTGGACTGAAAGCTTTTGTCAATCAAGTGACCCACTCCCCAATTTCACCATATGTCACTCATTATGTGTTTGTTGTATATTTTCTGTCTTCTGACTGCCATGTTATCACAATAAATCGTTAATTGTTATTATTATTATTACAAGTTAATACTTTTTCTTCACACAGATGGTGGTAGAACTGTGGCTCCATTCTTCCCTGGCCTATGGGTAAATACGCATTTGTAATGTGGTTTTTAGATCTTGTGATAAGGCAGAAGACAATAGAAACATGAAAAGGTCGTGACATTGTATGGGAGCGAAGCAGACGGTTCTTCAAGTTTCAGCTGACAAATTTTTGACATTTTATAAATAACTTAGCATCGCTCTTTTTATTATTGTAGATACGTTATAATTAACTCTCCAGATAAGTACGAGTCAAAAATTAGTCTTGCATATTTCAGTTAAGTTATAGAGTTGAGATAGGTTCGTTACAACACCTTACATTTTGTGAGTGATCCAAATAATATTGCTTCTGTCTTCAGCTGAGCACCAGTTCAGATGATAAAAATGCCAGCTGTATCCTGGGATGTGTTCAGGTTATATACAGCCTGGTACAGTAGTAATAAATAATAAGCTGATAAGTGACGTAGACAATAGTTGTGGCTGCGAAGTTACAGAATGAATATTATTCATTAAGTTCCTTATTTTTTCAGTATGTTACATCCGCTAACACATCTTGTTTACGGCAGTACACTCCAAATATTAATCGAACATGCTAATCTTATCAGAGAGAATTGCGCTATGGCGTCTTAGAATAAGTAATTTTATCAGCAAAATTAGATAAGAGAAAAGAGAGAGGAGGTTGTAGTACAAGTGAGCGGCCAACACAAACACCCTCCCAGACGCCCTCAGCTGCGTCTGTCAACAGTCTGGCCCCAGTGAGAAGTCCAACTCCAGGCCACGGTCACTCTAGTACACTTTTCTTACTGTTAACATCTGTGAAAGTTCCTCAGTTTCACTCTCAGCAGGTAGTGTACATTGTGTTTAACGTCTTGACTTCCTGTTTGGGTTATAGATACTGTACAGTACAGTAAATGACACTTGAAAACACTGATAAAACATGAGGAGGAAGTGTGGTAATTTAAGGTTTATTGTGGACCACGGAGGACATGACGAAACTCGTGACATTAACTAAACGATCTGGATGAACTCATTCTTGGAAATAAGAGTCATTCATATGTATGTGTGTGCATTATGTTTTATTTGTTTACAGCAACAAAGGACAAGTCAAACTGAGTGCATGCCAGTGTGTTGTGTATAGGTCCTTAGGTAAGAAGTAATGTTTTTTTGGTATTTTTGCGTTTACACACCGCACATTCCTACCACTAATCTATTATCGTATTCTAATAAGACGTCTAATTATAAGATACTTTTCATCTATTACATTACCGTCGGAAATGTATAATAACGGAGATAGCGTATCCAAAATTTTCTCTATTTTCTTCCATTAATCTTCCTCCATTATCGCCTGCCTCACCTCCAACACTGTGTCTCTCCTTCATAAACCATCCCGTACACGTCACGCGGCCAATCAAGAGCATTTTTGTTTTTACAACCAATTAAAATTATTTTGGGTTTAATTCGCGGTATATTTGACACAATCAAATTCGAGTTTTATTTTGGGTCTCATATTTCGAAATTCAAGTTCAGTTCCGACCATGGAAGTCTGCGACGGGTGTCACTTAAATTATATGGAGCTGATTGCGAGTTTTTGGGAAAAACGTAGAAACTATAGCATTTTTTTGATCGCATGGTGTTCCTCAGTAAAGTGTACTAAGAGCAAGACAATGTAAATATCTCAAAGACCAACATATGTGGCGTTGGGTAAGAATCCCAGAATCCAACGATGAACAAGAACCAGGCCAATAAGGTAAGAAATAGGTGATTCCATCATATGGTGAGAGTCAGTTAGGTTAGGTTAGGTTTGGTTTTTGCTTTTCTAGTGTGTTTGGTGTATTTTGCCATGATTTTTTTTCAAAAAACGTCCGACGAAAAAAAATTTGATAAAAAAACGGCTAATTTCCGCCAGAAATGAAGGTCATATTCGGTCTAAACACACAAATACACTAGACAAATATATTTTTTACTCTCTAACAGAGGGGTGTGACAGTGCAAATTTACCGTTTTTTTATATATATATACTTTAGGACAACACGGGAATCTTAGTCATTTTATCTTTGCAATCAATAGTTTAGAGAATTCTAAGACACTTTTCTTCTATGGTGTTTCCCCTCATAAACGACTTACTGACATATGCTCTGCCCCCTGTACCCCCCCTGTACTGCCCGATTAGGATTTAAGGTAATTTTTAGGTCATTTGTGAGATAAATGTCATAGAAGAAAAGTGGGTTAAGGTGTAGTTTAGGGCTAACACCCGAAGGGGTTTGTAGAAATCGTTTACATTTTTGTACACACTAATAACATGTTAATAAACACAAATGGAAACGACAATACAAAGAACCTGACCTAACATACATAAGAACATAAGAACATAAGAAAGTGGGATACTGCAGGAGGCCGACTGGCCCATACAGGGCAGATCCCTTTCACACCCATCCCAGCACTTCCATGTGCCTATCCAACTTCGTCTTGAAGCTCCCTAGCGTCCCCGATCCTACTATAGCACTCGGTAGTCTATTCCACATATCCACAATTCTATTACCAAACCAGTGCTTGCCTATATCCTTTCTGAATCGGAATTTATCTAATTTAAAGCCATTTGTTCTAGTTATTTTGTTATTACTGAGCTTCAGAACATCTTCCATTTTACCCTTGTTAATCCCACTTACCCACTTGTACACCTCTATCATATCTCCCCTAACTCTACGCCTCTCTAATGAATGTAAGCCTAGGCTTTTCAGTCTTTCTTCATATGGAAGGTTTCTAATATTATGGATCATTTTGTCATTCTTCTTTGTACTCTCTCCAAAGAATCTATGTCCATTCTATAATAAGGACACCAGAACTGAACCGCATACTCCATGTGTGGCCTCACTAATGCTAGGTAAAGTTTCAAGATAACGTCAGCAGTTCTGTTACTCACAGACCTAGATATGAACCCAAGAATCCTGTTTGCCTTGTTCTGACGCTAATACATTGTTTTCTAGGTTTCAAGTAATTTGCTAACAAATACACCTAGATCTTTTTCACAAACTGAGTTTTCTATTTCCGTGTTACCTAGTTTATACTTAACGTTTGTATTCGTCTTCCCTATCTGTAGTACCTTGCATTTATCAGTATTAAAATTCATTTGCCAGTCTACTGACCACTCATGTAAGGTATCTAGATCTCTTTGAAGGTGTTCAAAGTCACTGTCTGAATTTATCACTCTCCCCATTTTGGTATCATCTGCAAATTTATTAATCCTACTAGTTATGCCTAAATCAAGATCATTAATGAATACAGTAGTACCCCGCTTAACGCGGTCAATTGAACCCACAGGGTACCGCGTTAAGTGAAAACCGCGTTAAGTGAACAACAGAACATATGGGATTAATTCCAATAGAGACTGGCCCGACCCCCAAACTCCACTTTTTGACGACACACAACTATGTTGTAGTAAAAATTTTATCTTAGCTTTATGATGGTATGCACACACAATTAATAATTAAGAGAAATATCAATAATATTAGGTTTTTTAACACTTGCATTAGTAGAAAAGATGGCTGGGCACACGGGGATGGGGGGTTGGTTCCGAGGCAGAGGGCAGATTATTGGCCCTCACCTGTATCACTTGTATCAATTGTATCACTATCCACCACAGAGGCTTGCAGGGCCTCTTTGTCAAACCCCTCAAAGGCCATATAAGTCCATATCCTCACTATAATTATCACTATCACTGACTTGGGCCGGCTGTGGTGGGTGGCAGGTGAAGAACTCGGTAATGTTTTGATGACTGGGCGACCTTGTGCGCATCGTGCCCGCGCCGCTTCCCGCGTATATGATGAAAAATTCCGCGTTAAGTGAAAGTTCAGCTCTGGCGAGGCACCGCGTATATGATAAAACGCGTTAAGTGAAACCGCGTTAGGCGGGGTAATACTGTATAACAAACAGCAGAGGGCCTAATACAGATCCCTGGGGAACTCCGCTTTTGACCGCACCCCAGTCTGACTTTAATCCATTTATGCTGACTCTTTGTTTCCTACCAGTTAACCATGACCTAATCCATTTTAATACTGATCCACCTATTCCATGTGCTTCTACCTTCCTTATCAATCTCTCATGAGGAGACTCTCCGAATGCTTTACTGAAATCTAAATAAATTATATCATATGACTTATCATTATCTACCTTCATATACTTCTGAGAAAAAGCTAAGCAAATTTGTGAGACAAGAACGTCCCTGGGTGAACCCGTGCTGAAAAGAATGAATTAAGTTGAATGTTTCAAGGTGGCTTCTGATTTTCGTAGCAATAATTGACTCTAGCAACTTGCCTATGATTGACGTGAGACTAATGGGATGGTAATTTGATGCAATTGATTTATCACCTTTTTTTGAAAATCGGAACTACATTTGCAAGTTTCCAAGCTTCTGGCACTAGGCCCGATTCTAATGACTTATTAAATAAAACTGCTAATGGATTACTCAACTCATCTCTACATTCTTTTAATATTCTAGCATATACCTCGTCTGGAATGGCTGATTTATGAGGCTTCAGTTTGTTAATTACTTTAAGCACATCGTTACTAGTAATATTGATATTCATCAACATATTTTCTATACAATAGTTATATACCTTATGAACTGGAAACTGTGCTGGGTTTTCATTTTGTGAATCTCTGGAGGCGAAAATGACTATTAGCATTACTACACATTTCTAACTCATCATCAGTCATTTCTCCTGTAAGTGTTTTATCTTGTTAGGTTCTGATAGTAACCAAGTAAGTGATTTTCGCCTTTCTTAACTTTTCTATATACTCCTTTCTTTTTCCCTAGAAGATCTAAGAGTCTATTATTCATCCATTTTGGTTGGTTCCGTATCGATCTGAATTTTCTTTTAGGGATGTGTTTATTTTGGGCATTATTGATTGTCGCAATAAATTGTTCATAAGTAGCTGCTAAATTAAATTCGGGGTTATCCCGTCCTAAGTTGACAGTTTCCGGAGGTGTGGGGGGGATTAATCTTTTGACCATAGGGTCATCCCTTAGGTCTCTCCTTAAGCTACCGTAATTAGCCTTCCTAAAATCCGGGATCAAGGCCGAATTTTCCTTCTTCCTGCCATCCCATATTATGTTAAAATATATGGCTTTATGATCACTGTTTCCTAGTTCGTCTCCAATCCCAACATCTTTTACTAGATTTTCATTATTACTGAGAACTAAATCGAGGATATTATTTCCTCTAGTGGGCGAGTTTATGAATTGATATAAAAAACTATCTTGTACTACTTCTAGAAAATCTTCAGATTCATTATCGCTAAGTTGATTTTTCCAATCTATGCCTGAAAAGTTGAAATCGCCTAGAATACATACATTGTTTCTATCAGGTCAGGTTTTATTATGTTAATTAATGTGTTAAACAACTTAACTTAATATTAAGGTTGATATACATCACCAGTGGTGAGGAGGAATATGTGGAAGCGTTCACCATCATTTATGGGAAACGTTTCTTGAAGAGGGATTCAGGGAAATAAACAACAAAAATGGCGCCGGGAGGAGAATAGTGAAGTGGGATAGAGTAAATAAAAAAAATATAATACTTAAACTTATACCATAAAGTTGTCGTTTCTTTTAATATACTTAAAATCATCAAAATAATAAGTATGGCAAAAATAAAGACAATCAACAAACTCCTTCTGGTGTTAGCCCTAAACTACACCTTTACCAAAAAGTGTCCAAGCTTTGTCGGTAAATTTTTACTTTAGGACATGAGTCCCTTGGGGTTGACCAATATGTTTTTCCAGTGAATGTTGGTGTGTTTTAAGCGAATCTGACCTTCATTTTTGTCGGAAATCGCTCATTTTTGCC